GATAATATTCTATTTAGAATATTAATTATATTTAACTTAAAAATTATCAGAATATACGATGCATGATTATAATGCACATGTCTTGATGCCTACTTATAACCGCACTTCCACTTATGCCTGTCTTTATCCTCCCGACCCACATATAACAAGTGGGGCTAAAATTAGCATAGAATAATACAATATAACTTCCCACACCCACTTATAATAGGTGGGGCAAAATTCCACCCATAATCACACATGGTAGATGGGGTAAAAATAGAACATATACTGCCCCTTGTAACATATTAGAGCGTATGCTTTTTATATATCAGAACATCTGCAATGCCATGAAATGAATAGTACAAATGTAAGTTCTATTATAACTAATTTATAAATTCATTATATTGCATAGGTGATGTATGAATTATCAGTAAAAAAATACATTGTATACATATCATTATACTCATTCAATTTCTACCATTCAATTTCCAACTTTAGAGTGATATTCACATAAACATTTTATGTCTTGTATATAACTAATATAATTGCTAGAAAATCCTCAATGAACTTATATATTCAAAAAATTATATAGGAAAAACAAATAGGTGTAAATCTAATTTCTTATAGTCAAAATGTTTAGAATACGATGCACGACAATATACTAAAAATTAATGATAAAAATGTCATAAAATACGAGAAAAATATATTTTTATCCACAATAATATTCTAGAAATAAAATTAGAGATAGGAATTCAGAGGTCTATTTATGCTCTATAACATCCTAAAGAGGCCTAACGGACAAAAACCAAGCCTTGGCCTCTAAATTCTCACTATTTATTTCCTTCTCCTCTTCTCCTCTCCCTTCTCATTTGTCTTATGCTAAAGGGCTAGTGTGAGGGATTTTTGGCAAATGGATTTAAATATTTTAATATTTAAAATCACTAATTTAGTGTGGTGCCACAAAGCTAGCCTCCCTAGCACTGCTGTGCTTAATAAAATATTCCATATTCTTTTAAAATTCTTTAAATAGAGAGCATGACATCGTAATGCTTCCCTCTCTTCCTTTCCAAATAGAGAGCATGATGTCATGGCGCTGCTCATCCAAGCGCTACCACTCTCTTAGAGAAAATTTGATAGCTTTAAAATTCAATTTCCATATCACTTCTTAGCTCATCCAAGGATTTATTTAACTCTAGCAATCATACTTACCATTCAAATCAAAATTAAACAAGCATTAACAATAATTACCTTATTTTGGATAAGTAGATTTTAAAAAAAGCCTTATCCTTCTATAGATAAAACATTAGTCACTCATCCATCCCTAAATTTCAAACATTTAAAACCAAAGTAGCTCTGCATTACCCCTCACAAAACCCAACTCTACACATGAATTTACCCTCAAACCCAAAACATATTCCTTTATAGACTTGATGCACTATAACCCCCTGTACTCAAATCTACCTTTACTAAAAAAACCCCATATCAATCTTATTATTTTAAGGCCTCCTCTCTACCTCTACAACGGAAAATTATGGGAGATGAACAATATGATCTTTTATACTAGACTAAAAGAGCTGGCTTCAATGGGGCTCACATATACCTTATTCAACCATTGAATTGATAACCCTATCAACATTTAATTAGATTGTGAGTTTATTAATAAGAAGCGGCTCAACCTATTTCTTACTTCCTTCTACAAATTGACTCCCTCAGATGTTCTGATCATTTAATTCTCATAATATACACCTCTTCCAACTACAAGGTTAACCAAAAATTCCTTTTAAAAATTGTTGGTGTAACATGCTTCAATTTTGGAAAGCTTTGCTTACATCTTTTATAGAACCAACCTCTGGCAACCTTATTTTTTTTCCTTTTATTCTAACTTGATCAAGCATAAGTAGAATATTAGAAGCATGGCTTAGTGCTCCTCTAATCACCTTATCAATGTTATTAAGTCTTTAGAAATTTAACAATCTTCTTATTTTAATAGCAATCTTCTTACTTTAATCAACTTACCTCTAACCCTTTAAACCCCCCAACTCAATGTTATGGAAAAATGTTTGGGGGATAATATCTGCAATTCATATGCTAATTAGGCCCCTTGGATCATCCAAAGGGGAAACTAAAAGTGGATTAGCAATGTTGAAGATGATCGTAAGTATCTTTATGGTAAGATAAAAGGTAGAAGAAAAGATAATTGCATCAATGAGCCTTTATAAATTATGGAACTTTCACTTCATGCTCTGATATTGCTCACATTGCTATTTATCACTTTAAAAATAGTTTAATGGACTAGTTATGGTGATTCTTTTGAAGACCTTCCTCCCCCTACCCCAAAAATCACTAGCCATCTTCTCGCTTCCCTCATGACACTGGTTACTGAAGAGGAAGATAAAAGATATTATTTTCTCCTTCTTTAAGAACAATACACCTAAACTCTATGGCTTCACGTTTGGCTTCTATAATTTTGCTTGCAATATTACTGGTACTAAGTTCTGTAGAGCTATCAAATACTTCTTCAACACTTCTAAGCTTCCTAGGAGAGTGAAAGCTTATTGTATTGATCTTATACAAAAATTTCCCATGCTGAGAGGATGTTAGATTTTGGGCCTATTTCACTATGCAATACATTTTATAAACTGTTTTTCCAATATGTTTTATTTTCCAGAATAAAATTGGTTATTCCTCACATTATACATTTAACTCAAGTTAGTTTCATTGCTAATAAACACTCTATAGACAATATTATTTTGCCTAGGGAGCTTTTATATGAATTTAACCATGCCAATAAGAGCCCTCATTTTTAATCAAAGCTAGATATTCATAAAGCCTTTGACTCTCACTCTCTCTAGAGATTTTCTCTTGCTTAGAATGGAGGAAATAGGATTCCATCCATCTTCATTAATTGGATTAAAGCTTGCATTATTGATTTACACTTCTCCTTATACTTTAATGGTTTTTTGGAGGGTTTCTTTGGCTAGACCAAAGGTCTTAGGAAGGGCTACCCTCTCTCCCCCTATTTATTCTGCATTGCTATGGATGGATTATTAAGTATTTTTGAAGATCAAGTTAATAAGAAAGAAAATGAGAGCGTTCCATTTGGTTTTGATTTTACATCCCTTATGTATGTTAATGACCATTTGGATTTTAGGAAAGTTACCAAGGAAAATTTGACCACATTAAAAGATATTCTCTCTTACTTTAATCTCCTTTCTAGTCTTGATATTTGTTCTTCCAAAAGATTCATTATTTCTTCTTAAAACATGCCTTCCTTGGGTCCCCTTTTTGCTATCCTCAACTTGGCTAAGGAGGCACACTCATTAATTTATCTTGGCATTCTAATTGGTTCAAAAAGGTACTTTTTGATTTGTAGCATATACTGAATAAGGTCTCTTCTATTTTGGATTGGTGGAAAGCTAAATTCCATTCCAATGCCCGTGGTTGCAACATCTCAAGTTCCATTTAGAATAACATTGCGTATTGGATTCATGGAGCCATTATGCCCAAAACTTGCTTTAAGTTCATTAACAAGATAAGTGTTAGATTTATTTTCAGTGGTGATATTAATGAGAGAAAGCTCCATTTGATTGCTTTGAAGAAAATTTGCAAGCCTATTCAGTTTGGGGGTCTTAGAATTCCTACTCTTCCAGATATTATTTTTGCTTACATTTATGGCTTAGTTTTGAGGTTCCTTACTAGTGATTCTCTTCTAAAAAAATGGTGGAAATTCAAATATGATTCATTGAGGAAGTAGAAGGTGGGGCATAATCTCAATGCTAGAAATATAACTAATATCACAAACTTAATTAAGCCCCACTTAATGTTCTCTATTAATCACGCTTGTATGTTCTCTACTTTATAGGATATATAATCTCATGGTAGTTGAATTATGAAAAAAATTGCATATTTTAGCCTTGCTAATGCTACAGATTATGCATACATATCTAAGTTTTTAAGCAATAACTCCTATTGCATTCCTTCTTCTTGCCTGTTTGCTTTAACTTCTCTTTTATCTCTGTTACAAATCATGATAATTGACATGAAAGGTGCTAGGGAGGAATTTAACCAACCCATCCTACAAAAATTTTAGGCAAATTCTTTATGATGATTATACCTCATCTCTTGGTTTAAATATATTTGGCACAAAAACTATTATCTGGGTTTCTCAGTTTTCTTCTGGTTGGCTTTATGTGGTGGTCTTAAAAAAAGTTAATGCCTTAATTTGTAGAAACATTTTGGTCAATCCCTTTTGTTCCTTATGCTTATCCCATGTAGAAAATATCTCACACTTGTTTTTTTGAATGCGTCTTCATGTTCAAAATTTTAACTAGCATCATTCCTCTATTCTTAACTTTTGTGCTTCAGCTGAACATTCACCAAGCATTTGACTTTATCATTGAATACAACAAGGTTTCTAAACTTATTACTAATGCCTTCAAGTTTGCTATTTTGTTGCTCTATCTATTATATTTGGAGAGAAATGAACATAAAAAATTTGGTCTATGTTTAACTATGCATCTACTGTCCAATTTCAAATTAAGGAGGTCATCTTGCTCAATGTCTAAAGATGGAAGAATTATAAGGAAATGTAGGAGCTTTTTAAATGAATGCAGGGTGTACTTTTATCAGTTGCATATTTTAAGCTCCTCTAAACTATGATGAAAAGCTCTTTGCTTATTGCTTGACAGTTTTTTATTGCTTTTCTTTTTGGGTTGCTGCCTCTGACACTTGGGAGATACTTAATATTTTGAGCTGATTGTCTATTTTATTTTTGGTGCCTCACTCAATTATCTTTTTTTACTCCATATTATTTTGTCATTTTATCATTCTTGACCTTTTTGCAAATCATGATTAACTTTATCATTTAAATTTACAGCATAGTTAATTTTAATTTTTTATTATATTATATTTATGTTTTCTCTTTTTTGTTTTTTGATATATCTTCTTAAATAATTTGTGGCGTCGACCGATGTAATTATTTATTTAGAATATAATGGGTGCATTTTCCTCTTCCAGGGAAAACAAAAAATTCAAGGGAGGTTTTCATATTTTATTTTATTTTTTTACGGCGAAGAGACTCCAATAGCTTCTAACGTGCAGAATGCAAACTCACTGCGTCGACGCCTTGCGCAACAACTCTCTTCTCCGCCCGCTTCCAGGGTTCCGCCTCTGCGGTAGTCGCCCCTTGCTGCTCTTCTCTTCCGCCGCACGTAGGGTTTCCTGTAGTCTTCCCAGCAGTGATAGGCTGTTCCATGGATGGAAGCAAAGGGCCGGAAAGTATGAAACGGTTAGGGCCAAAAAGAAGGACAATATTTGGAGCATCGACAACGAGCTTGCGTCCAAGAAAGCCGAGGAGGAGAAGAAGGGATTGACCCGGAGGAGGAAGACGGGGAAGAAGATGAAGGGCGCCAGGAGCAGCGGGGATTCCATCGTTATGGTTTCCGGAGCCATGCCGACGGAAATAGAGACCGTACTCCAGACTCAGGTTGGTTTGAGGATTGGAAATTAAGGGTAAGGAGAACCGAAGAACATAACCTAACAAGACCGACCAATCCAATTTGAGTATAGGACAATCCTGTTTTAATTTGTAATATACATCTAATAATCATAAATAAATAATTTGATTTACTCTTATCAAGAAAGAATAAGTTACAATTTAGAATTCGGTTTGGGGTTTGAAAGGGGAGCCTCGGCTGTTTCCCCCATAAGTATAACACTTATTTGCTAACCCTAGCTACCTCTCTTATCCCCTCCAGGGGCCCTTTCCCGTCCTGCCACCCATGTCTGCTTCAGATTTCCCTTCCCTTTCTAACCCCTCCACCTCTTGCGGTATTTCTGCCCCTCGCTCCCTCCTTTACTCCCGCCACCCTACCTCAAAGGACTTTCTGCTATCTTTTATTCCCCTTAGGACAAAACCATCACTTCTCTGAGGATGTAGTTGCTCAAGGCTCCAAAGAATGGAACCTCTCCTAAGTTAGTTATGCTATTGGTAGACGATTCTACTATAAGGCCTCCTCTTTGCCATCCACAAAATTTGGTTCCGTTAAAGGCTCTCTCAGCCTTCTCTCTCTTATTGAAGGGTTTAAAAGCTCATGAGGGTTGTTAAACCCTAAAGAACTAGTCCCAAGGCTAACTAAGAGGGAGTGAATTTGTATGATTTTTTTTTTAATGATGAAGAAAAAAATATTTTTATAACTTGATGCGTAAACAAATTAAATTCACAATAAAAAGATAAATCTATGTTTTCATCCACGCAATTAATCGCAATAAAAATAAATGCTGAAATAATAAAAGGACAGAACACACTAAATTTATAGTAGTTCGGTCCAACCTGATCAATGTTTAATATTAATAAGTTTTTTGTTCGTGAGGTGAGGCATAAGCCTCAAGGCGTTTTGAGGCGTGAGCCTCAAAATAAAAAATTGCGTTAAATGCAAATAAATGTTAAATTTTTTTTTTTATATAATATCCAAATAATATGTTAAAAAATGGCATATTATCTTTCTATTGAACTATGAAGTAACACAATGACATATAAAATAAAAAATTGCACAAGACCTAAAGTGACTAGTGATAAATTGCATGAAATGTAATTGAAACACAAATATTTCATGAGCAAAATATTATTAAATATAAAAACTGCATAAAAACATCATATAATATTAAGTTTAACTACAAATTTTTTCTTTCTTAGTTCCCTACTCATATACATTTAATTTCAAAAAAATGCTGAAAAATTGGCAATAACTAGAAAATCATCTATATTGTCATCACTGATGTATCTTTATTTGAGTCATCATTATAACAAATTAATCTATCCCCTATCTCATCCTGTGGAGTCCAATCCCTCTCGTTGTGGCAGAGGACTGAAACTCCTTTTACAGGCAGGGAACTTTGACTCTGTTTTCTCCCTCCAAAAGATGGCAGAGAACAATGAATCCCTTTCACCTTCCCTGGTGCAGCGGAGTAGTCATGTCCTTTGACACCAAATAGATGTTCTTCTTATCAAAATTTCTCTACAGACGAATCTTGAATTCGATGGTACTAAGGTGCAAGCTTGCCGGAGCAACCGTATGAAATCCCCTCCACACTCTCTTGAAACTTCCTCCATTGATGTTTTCCCTCTCAAACTCCACCATTTTCTCTATCCATTTCAAGTTCTCTCTTCAAGTATTTTTTAGAAGAACGAAGACACGATGACTACCAAAGATACTTACCAAGTATCTTGAGAAAGCTTAAATAGAGAGTTTTAAAAAACCCTAAAAATTCAATTATACTGATAAAGATCATATAGTACGATCCTAAATCGTCCTGTACGATTAGTATAAAATAGCCCTTTTAACTAGTACGATCAGCATTGTCCTGTATGATATGTTCAAGTATTTGCACAGATCGGCCAATACGATTAAGAGATCGTCCGGGACGATTAGTTCAACCAAAATGCAGTTCGTACAGGACGAAACATGAAACGAACAAAATCGTACACGGATAATCCTAAAGTACGAAGTGAATCATACAGTACAATAAAATATCAAAATTGAGCAGATTGGATTGATTAATCACAGGATCAATCAGAACAAATATGAAATTCAAAATCTTGCCTAAATTATGATTGATGACTATTTTTCTTTATCAATACTGATCGTCCTGGACACAAATGTAATCAGTCAAATACATTCTCCCTCATTGACATTATCAAAAAGAAGGGAAACATACAAAAAATAAAATGAAACACACATAACATACTCTAATCAGGTGGATGTGGTGTTGATGTTTAAGAAAAATCAATTAATTTCAACAAATTTTTTCAAAATGAGAAAGTTACCTCTTGATTTTATTCAAAAATATAATAAGAAATGAATTGACCGCACTAAGATCCAGAAAGGTTAAAATTTTGAATTTTATCAATCATAGCTAAAGCTTCTTACAGGTTAAATTTCTTTTTAAATAAAATTCTAATTCAGAAAAAGAATTAGCGAAGAAAAAAATATCTTTTTCAATCTTTTTACATAAAATATATCTAATAGAATATCAATGCAAAAATGGTGAGTAAGAAATTATGATTTTCAAACTCAAGTATCGAAAGTATCATTTAGACACATGGGTTTTTTAAAATTTAAAAATACAAGAAAGTAAGCCAACTTATTATGAGCTCGTTTTATGTCTCTTTATCAGTTTTTGGTGCACTTTGTGCATCTTTTGATTTTTGATATATATTTGTGCATCTTTCAATTTTGGCGTACATTGCGCATCTTTTCATGTTGGACTCATCTTGTATCTCTTTTCATTTTTGTAATGTTACTTCTTTTCTTATCTTTAAAGACTTAAAGAAAACCCGATTAAATGATAAAAACAAATAGTTTGATTAAGAAAATTATGAAGTGATTTCATCAGCTTGCAAAAGATTCCTATGTGATAGAAGAAATGTAGGATGATAAATATTTAATTTCAAAAGTTTAATTTTTAAATTGATATAGTTTTTGATTCAAAAGTGCAATGGCCTGATTAAGAAAATGGGAAGGAGAGACATAATCTGGAATTTTTTTCCTTTAATAATTTAGAAAAGTCAATCATCACTTAAATTTTTTAAGTAAATAGGAGATAAAATTTTTATTAAAAAATTTGAGAGAAGTGAATTGGTTCTCTTATGCAATTACAATGTGAAATGTGATTTGTGTGTTGATCAGAAATAAATTACAAAAAATACAGTAAAAATAAAATAAAATAATTACAAACAAAAAATATAAAAAATAACACATAAAATATTTATAATGAACAAATCAAAACAAAGAACATATACACATGCATTAAATACAACACATAAACACACAAATAAAATTTTATACCTCGTTATCTTGCTTATGGTCTGATGATTCAGAAGCTATATCTGCTTAAGAGATCTTTTACTTTTTATCATTTGTTTTTATTACAATTGACATATTTTTACCATTTTCTTTTGCATAAAGAGTTTTTACATTGGGGCACTAATTTTTCATATGTTCGAATTTCCTACGTTTAATACAATAATATCAGAGGAAATCTTTCTTACCATTTTTACATTTATTTCACTTTTGTTGATATTAATGCTTGTGCTTTATCAGATTTTTAAATTTGCTTATAATTGATGCTATTTCCTTACTCTCAGCATCTACTAAGTTGCTTTCATCTTGAATGATAAATAAAAGAAAGTACAAAGTAGTGAGAGAAACTCTGGGTTTTCTAGCGAGAGAAACGTAACTGTTTTTTTTTTCAAAAATTCTGATTCGCGCTTTTCATGGCGGCGGACGGTCGTCAGCCGTCTTCAACGCCTGGCGGTCAATTTGAGTGTCGACATGCTATTTCGACTCCGTTATAATCATCCTATTCAAGCCTGGCTTCTTCCCCTCTAGCATTTGGCGACAAGGTGCTGCCGAAAAATCTGGACGGGAAGGTTTGTTTTATGACTGGGAAGCCATCAGTTAATAATGAAGGTTGTCTTCTGATTCAAAAGAAACCAGTTGAAGTTATTAGGAAATGAAAAAACATCATCTCTGAGAAATCAATGGTTTTTCATAAAAAAGAAACTCCGGCGGAATCCAGAAGAGTAGCTAAAGGTGGAATCAGTGAAACGTCGACATCCAATTCGAAGGAATGTCCAACTAAATCTAGGTTGGAGCTGGAAGACAATGCCGAGTATCAGAAATTAATCCTTAGGAGAATTGGAAACCTGAAGTTGGTGTTAATCAAGAGGTAATTCAAATTGCTGATCTGGAAAAAGTTCGTGTATGTGAAGAAGCCGAATGCTGCCTGTATAGAGGAGATGGTTCAAAATGTATCAACATTGAAGGCTTCCAGTAATTTGTTACCAAATGCTTGGATAAAGAAATCTAACATTAATGTTTCTAATATGGACTTTGGGAAAGATTTTACAGGAGTAAACTTGGTGGTTAAACTTCATGTGGCAAATGAACTGGATAATTCGTTTAAGCTCCAAAAATCTCTGGTTATTAAAGTTTTTGGTGAAAGCATCTCATTCCCATTGATTTGCATGGAATTGAGAAGACAATGGTCTCAATTCGGTAAATTTCATCTAACAATACTCGGTTTGGGATGGGTATTGTGTGCATTTGATGAACAAGAGACATTGGACTCAGTTTTCTCCAGTGGGCCTTAGTATGTAAAAGATAACATAATCGGCATGGACAAGTGGTCGCCAGCATTCTCTCCATTATCCTTGAAAGGCTTATCATCTCTGGTTTGGATTAGAATGCCAAACCTTCCTCTACAATGCTGGGATGAAATTAACATATGTAGAATTGCTTCAATGATTGGGAAGCCGTATATGATAGATGGGAATTCATTCCAATGGAGTAGAAGGGAATTCGTTAGGATTTGTGTTTGTATAAATCTGGATTTCAAGCTTCCCTTGGGAGTTTGGGTTGAAGGATATTCGGGAAAATTCTTTCGAATGATCGAGTATGAGAAGATTCCAAACTTTTGTTTTTG